TGTCCGTGTGTCTGTGTCTGTGTCTGTGTCTGTGTCTGTGTGTCTGTGTGTGCGTGTCTGTGTGTCTGTGTGTGTCTGTGTGTGTCTGTGTGTCTGTGTGTCTGTGTGTCTGTGTGTCTGTGTCTGTGTCTGTGTGTCTGTGTCTGTGTCTGTGTCTGTGTCTGTGTCTGTGTCTGTGTCTGTGCAGCCCGACCAAGGTGACGCTGCTGGGATCCGTTGTGTTCTCTCTCCATCAGTGCCGCTTTCTCCCGATTCACACGCATCAGCTGATCTTCATCTACACGCTCTTCATCGTCACCAACAAGGTCTGTGTGTTTGACAAAATACAGCGATAATAAAATAAAAAATGTAATGTGCAAAATACTCCAGAATACCTTAAATCTACATAAAATGTATTAATATTATATTAGTAAATATTATAAAAAAATATTAATATTCTGTATTTTTGTGCATCGTATTTAGAACCACAGTCTGTAATAAATATATTATAATAATTAATTTTTGTGTGTGTGTGTGTGTATGTGTGTGTGTAATAATAAATAGGTAGAAATATATATATATATAGTATATAGACCAATTTCAGTGTTTGCAAACAGTGATGACGTATTTTGTGGGCGGAGCCTATCTGGTGGCAGAAAATGCCAGTTTTAATGTAGCAGTCTATGCAAGCCATGGAATAAAAAAGGAAACTGAGTTTAAATTTCAAAATTCTGATTTTTTTCTTTAAATTCCGAGATTATATCTGGTAATTCTGGTAAGAAAAATCAACTCGTCATTCTCTCTTTTTCCCCTCAGCTCAGAATAATGCGTTTATAATCCCACACTTCTGGCTTTTTTTATCCTCGGAACTGACAAACTCGCAATTGTTGAGTTGAATTAAGTTATAAAGTTTGAACTAGGAGATATAAACTTGCATTTGCAGGGAAAAAAAGTCAGAATTGTGAGATAAAATGGGTAAATGTTATGTAAAATGTTATAGGTTTAAATAATATTTCATGCTTTAACTGTAGGGCTAAGACATTATGTCCCCTATGTGAATATTACCTATTGTTTAAATCTAATTTATGCTTTAAAGTAGGGTAATCATAGCAGGTTTAATCCACAGTCTGTCCGTGTAAACGTCTGCGTTTAGCTTCAAATGGCGTCTTTGATGACAGTGTTATCTAAAAATTATTTGCATTCTGATCTTGACATCCAAAGGCACAACAATACATGTTTTCTCTTATTCCATGGATTTTACCCCGTTTCCTTCCACTTGCTCCCAGTGTTTTTCTGCCACCACTATGCGCGCGCAGCTGCAAGTGACGTAACGGTGACGTCTACTCCAAATTGGTCTATATATACAATAAAAAAAACACTTATTATACATGAATACCCAAAACTACACTTGGCAAATTAATCAAAATGGTAATAAACTATATTGCACTTTTATAGTTCTCCATTTTATAGATGTTGTGCTTTACAAACAAGTACAAACGGATATAAGTTAAACAGACATAATGAGTGATAATAAAACATTCAGGTTGCATTATATATATATATATATGAAGAGTTTATTTGCAAAAGCGGATAACTCAGTTTTTGTAAATGTTCAAAAATCGTGTTTTTTATTATGTTATCATGTTTTATTGTGTTCGTTAGCTGTATTTTTTTAGTTATTTTTTTACCTAATCAGACTAACCCAACTGCAGTTTGGTTGAGATTAATTGGAATGCACAATGAAAAAACATGAACAACCATGCATTTTTTCTATATATTATATATATATATATATATATATACAGAAAACTCAGTTTTTTAATTTTCAAAAATCATGTTTGTTTTATTGTTATTATGTTTTTAATGTGTTTTACTGTGCTAGTTAGCTATATTTTTATTTATTTTTTAACCTAATCAAATTTACCCAAGTGCTTTATCTGTTATAAGTTATCTGTTTTTTGCAAACGAACTCTTCATATATATATATATATATATATATATATATAGTATATACACAACCTGAATGTTACCTCCTTATTGACAAAACAGTCAAACCTTCAGACATTTAATGCAAAATAGAATTAGAAATGCAAAATAACTGCATTTATAAGAGAACGCCACTCACTGAAGTAAACATGCAGTGTATCCAGGTCACAAATTATTGTAAGTGTACAGTGAACCGCAATGATAGTGTGTTTATTTACTGATAAACAAATATTAGCTGTGATTTCACGATTGGAAACCAGGCAACTGCTGGCATTCGTTTGACTGAATTTAACGAACGAGCTGCTAAAGCTCATCAGAGTGAGTGGTGTTGCTCTCGTCTCTCGCCGTCCTCTTTTGCCCTTCAGTGTGATCCGCGCCGCTTCACGCTCTTACACGGCTCTTGCGCGTTTTGCATCATTTTCATGTAATTGCATCATTCTGCTTCAAAAAGAGTGAAGTTCTTGAGCGAGACTGACGGTAAATCTGGAGTTCTTCAGTCTTATCTCAGCGCTTCGCTCCTTCAGCTTTCTGTTTGACTCATTAGTATAACTGAGGATTATACTTTCAGTCCTTTCAGATGTGCGTTCATCTTTGACTCTATTTTTGAGAAACTCAGGGTTTCTGCCAGTCTCCCACCAATTAAAAGGCCTTAAATCAGTCTCTTAAACTCATAACTCATTTAAATCTAGTGATTCTGTCTCATTAGTCTATTAAAACTGACTAATGACAAGTTATTATAATCGACAGCATGTGAAAGATGATGTAGCTATATAGAGTTAAAGTTGAAACGACAACAAAGAAGATTCTAAAGTGTGACACGCCGCACTGTTTAATCGCTCGTTATATCGAATGGCACGTTCTGCAGAAACTGGATTGGTGTTTTATTGTAGCTGTATGATTTATGTAATGGAAGGTGACTCTATGGAATATGCATTCCAAATGGAAATAAAAATTCCCGAATACAGAAATGGATTTTCATAGTTGATTGATTAGGCAATTGCAAAAAAAAAAAAATTATAATAAAATAAACACATTAAATGAAAATAATAAATTTGCAAATGAGGCACTATCTTATAAAATATGCATTAATTTGCGAACATTTCCAAAACAGAAATCTGAACATCGGATATAACCAGGTTCATAATTCTCACAGGTTTTTCCAGAGGCGGTTTTGGATTCCTCTTATCACTCCATAAATCAAAAAATACTGTCAACAAAACAAACATATTTGCACCATGCGTTAAGGAATAAAGTGTCATATAAATCAGTGTGAACGATGTACAGTATGAACAAACCCCTCGGTAAAAGCCTTCAGAATATAGACCTGTACAATTTGGTGTAACTATAAGAAAAAGATATGGATTGGGATTTAAATCTACAGATGCAAGTAGATGAAGTGCAATAGAATAAACACCTACTGTAAATGTTTGCATTTTTTTATTGAGAAAATCCAGATCCCAAAATCTGAAAACTGGCGAGTGCATGAAAACATGTTTTTGCCTGTAGTGTCTCGTCTAAAAGAAATGGGTCTGCGGTGTATTGTGCGGTGAATCCGTCCTGTTGTGTTAGTGATGTCATCTCTCACACACACACACACACACACACACACTCGTGCTCTTTGTGATGTCATTACATGGACTCTGTGTTTCAGTGAAGCGCGTGTGTGTGTGTGTGTGTGTTCTGAATGAAGCCGAGCTGCAGCATCATGTGACGTCCACTAGGGGTCCCGCGGTGTGTGAGGGGCCGGCGAGGGACCGCCTCGCTCTCAGCGGAGCCGCAGCCGATTGGTGACACCGAGTGGTACGTCCCAAACAAAGGCAGACGCACACAAAGGGAGCTCACACACACACACACATGCCGGACCCTCCTTCTTTGTGTTCCTCTGCGCTGGAGACAAAGACGACACAGAAGCAGAACAAATCAACACACACACACACACACACACACACACACACACACACTCGTGCTCTTTGTGATGTCATCACATGGACTCTGTGTTTCAGTGAAGCGCGTGTGTGTGTGTGTGTGTGTGTGTGTGTTCTGAATGAAGCCGAGCTGCAGCATCATGTGACGTCCACTAGGGGTCCCGCGGTGTGTGAGGGGCCGGCGAGGGACCGCCTCGCTCTCAGCGGAGCCGCAGCCGATTGGTGACACCGAGTGGTACGTCCCAAACAAAGGCAGACGCACACAAAGGGAGCTCACACACACACACACATGCCGGACCCTCCTTCTTTGTGTTCCTCTGCGCTGGAGACAAAGACGACACAGAAGCAGAACAAATCAGAGCAGCTCCATCTGTACAGCAGCAGCGGCTGGATCCACAGTTCACTGCTTACGGCTGAATCCTTTTACACAAACGCTACAATCCTGTCCTTCAAACCCTTGTGACTTTCTTTCTTCTGTGGAACATGAAGAAGGTGTTTTGAAGAACATTCTTTCGGTTTCTGGTTTCGTGAAGAACCTTGTCCGTGAACAGCTCTTCAAAAAAAAACGTATTTTATTCTTTTTTTTTTAAAACTTTTTTATAATAAATAACCTTTTGTGCATCGAAAAGGTTCCACGGATGTTAACGGTTCTTCATAAATCCATCAATTCCAATAAAAAAACTTTATTTTTAAGAATATGTAGCATTATATTTGATTTGAACGCATGACAAAACTTGGTTAGAACACTAGTATTCTCAGCAGCTAAAAATGGTTTTGAAAATTCAGCTTAGATCGCAGGAATAAATTATGTTTTACTAAATATTTGCATAGAAAACAATTCATTTATATTTAAATGTTTCAAAATTTTTACTGTATTTCGAACAAATAATTGCAGCCTTGGTGATTTATTTTTAAAGAACCCTTTTTTTCAGTACAAAGGAGCTTTCAGGGTTTCTGCAGGTCTTAAAAAGTCTTAATTCGCCCTTCCACAAAGTATTTTGCTGAATTAGAGCAGAAAGTCTTACATTTATTGACTTACACTCCAAAAAAATTAATATTTTTGTCTTGTTTTCCAGTTCACATTTCTAAATTCCCTTCAATTTATTCCTTAAGTTTTCTTTAATTGCTCTTACAATGATCTTTAAAAAGTCTTACTTTTATCGGTTGCACTTTATTTGAACGTGTGTAATTTACATGTATGGTTAGGGTTTGGTTTAGGGTTACTTGCATGTAATTATGCATGATTTATTGTTATTATATTAGTAAGTACATGCAACAAGGACACCTTAAAATAAAGTGTTACCAATTCACTTTCATGATGCTTTCAAATTAGGTTCATGAATGTTAAAGCTTCATGGAACAAGAACCTTTATTTTCAAAATTCAAAATGCTGAAATGCAGGAAGGTCATTTCTATTTGCTTCTTGCATAAAGCATCATGTGACTTCATATGAATTACTGTTATGATGCTTTATGATAACGTTAATGCCGCTTTTCTCTGTGCCCAAGATATTCCTCAGAAATATGGGTTTGGTGAGTAAATGTTGATTTTTTTTGCTGTAATATCTGTCAGGGTGTGAGTGTATTCTCAAACTGCATTAGTGCTGATGACGAGAGCGCCGGATGAGAGTGTGTTACATCACCGTCAGAGATTGAAGAGGGAAACAGGGACAGAATAACATCAGATATAATGATGCTGTTCCTCTGGAGGACAGACGCAGATCCTCATCCGTCTCTCATCGGGGCTTCAGTGATCAACCGGTGAGCTGCTGACTAACTGAGGAGAATTTGAGCCCAATCTACAGGTTTTCATGCTGCTGTGATGATTCTCTCGTTCTGCCATAGACATCATAATAGACAGATATATCAATGTGAAGGACACATTGGGCTTCTGGATCTTGTAGGCTGTGTTATTAAGTCCTGAACT